ACAAAAAGTGTTTTGTAATAAGTTCATGGGTTGCCTATATGGCTTTACCAGTGAGGGCTGTCCAGGTTCATAACCTATTACTTGTCCTTGGTCTGGCTGACATTAGCAGAATAAACAAGCTGTTATAGCCTTGGAGGGGACCACCATGGGCTGGGACATAGACTGCATGGCAGTTTAAAAAAAAAAAAAAAAAAAAAACTAAAGGAAAATTTTGCAGAATGTGGGCACGGGGTCTTTCCCCAGCTATTGTTACCTGTGCCAAAGGGAACCTGTTTAATCCAGAGGCAAGGAACACTTCCTGTACTTTAATCTGTCTTCCTACAAGTAAAAGCAGAGTCAAACTGACAGGCGGGCACAGATAAAATGCAATTTTTAAAAAGTACACAAAACCAAAACTCTTGAAACTTTGTTCTGCCTCCAGTTACACAAGTGTGAAACTTGCTAGCAATTAGAAATTCCCAGTTTATGTCTAAGATGTAATGTTCCTGAAAACAAGAGTTTCTGGAAGAAACAATGAACACTGAGCCTCAGTAAGGGTACTTCTCTCTACTGCTCGGCTGAGGGCAGGGATGGGAAGGAGGCGGGAGAAGGCAAGACTTATTTTTACTCTAGGGAGATAGAAACCGACTTCCTCTTTGGAGTTTTACCAGAAAACTCCTTTATAAAGACAAATTTAAATCTTTCCATTTTCCGTCCTTGAAGGTGGTAAATGTGGTTGTCGTTTTACCCGTTTTCATTGTCAATGAAACAGAGTTCAGACGGGCCGCTGCGCGTCATTTGTTGGATGGCTGCCACGGACTAATGCAGACGTCCCACTGGGAGCCCAGAGAAGCGCTGTGCTCTGATTCACCAGATTGTGTTAAATAGTCCAGCTGTTGCGATTTGAGAGATAGTTACCTCGGAAGTGAAATAGAAATGAACTTGGCATTTATGCCTCAAACCATTTTTATACTGTTTGGCAATCAGCTTTTCAGAGGTAGCATTTTATAAAATAACTCTCACCGCTTAAAGGTTTCATTCACTGTAATGTTCAAAATGTCCCACCTTTATATTATCAGTAAGATTAAGCTGGAGCGATATTCAGAATTTGCATGAAATAAGCATCCCCCCCCCTTCATTTCCTGAGCTTTGATTGTATTCAATTGAGCTGAGAACCGTGTCTATTAGGGGCTCTTTGGGGCATTAGTTAATTTGAATTGCAGCCGAAATGTTAGCTAGAATGTTTTGGAATATAAGTGGGAGGTGGAAAGTTGATTTTGAAAGGAAGGTGTCATTGAATGCAAACAGTGATGGGCTGTGGGGTGGGGAGCGCAGAGTGCGTCTCTTCCGAGAGTCTCCTGCGACACACTCTGAGATATCACCAGATCCCTTTACCAAGTTCAGCTGTGGTGAAGACTGCTGGAGGCAGGTTCAGTATGGTTTGGGGTCCAATCCCTCCTTTCACCAGCATGGGGCGGGAGCTGAAGTTCACTTGCCGGTGCCCCTTCTTCTGGCTCTTCCTGAATCCTAGCTTTTCCTTGTTTTTGTCTGAAAAACAACTGTTGAACACGTGACCCAGAATGACCCTTGGGTAAGGTCTATTTGAGTGGATCACAGATAACAAGTCTTTGGGAAACGAAGAGAAATCCTGGCTAAGATTCTGCAGTTTGGGCCAAAACAGCAGATCCAGCCTCTGTGCCAGTGCATGGGTGGAAGCTTCCCTTGTTCCCCTGGAGGGTGCAATCTGATTCACAGTCTTCCTCACTCTCTGTGACTCAGCAATTTTGCTTTACTGATTCTGCTCCTCAAGAGGAAGGCCGCCACGCTCTTTATGCGTATGAACTTCAGTTGCTTATCTGTGCTCAGAAAGGACTAATTCGGGTTCAGTTTGAAGGTAGAGTTAGCCCATCGTGAAAGGGGAGATGTGGCGGCTGGAGGTTGAGGCAGCTTTTCTCGTTGCATCCACAGTTAGGAAGCAGAGGGGCAGACAATGAACACTCAGGTCGGCTCTTTCTCCCTGGATACAAGCCCAGGGAATGGTGGTGCCCATGTTCAGGACATGTCCTCCCGCCTCGATTTACCGAGTCTCAATAATTCCACACAGGCATGCAGCATACTCAGAGCCCTGTCTCCTGAGTGAGTCTGGAGTGACACCATGGGGACAGAGGGAGAAGGTCGCCCTGGGAGGACGGCTTCTCATCCCCGGAGCTTTGAGCAGCTCTCCAAGGGACCTAGTGATATCAAACCAGGAAGGACTGACTACAAACTGCAGCTGGAGCGGTGGGCTTTGCCCCTTGCTGATTTCAAAGCTGCAGGTGGAAACAATGGAAGCACACTGGTAAAAGTGTCCACAGTTAGCCTGCGGCACCAACATTATATTTGGGAAATAGCTCAGCGTTAAGGAGTAGGCAGAGAGGCAGCTCAGACAGTTGCACTGTCTCTGCTACTCGTGAGCAGCCAGCGTGCTCTTAGGCCAGGTTCTCATCCCTGTCCACCTTGCTCTGGGGTTCCCGGGCAGTGCCACTGTGCCCACGGGGTTGGGGTTCCCAGGCTGGCCAGCGAATGACCTCTCAGATGACAATGCAGATAAGCAGCTTGAGGACAGATAAACAGTGACAGAGACAGTTCCAGAAACAGTCTCAGCCCCACAGTACGAGGTTTCTAAGCTTTCGGCTCAATCAGCCTGTGTGTTGCTGCCACAGGATGCTGAGAGCACTTCCTGGAAATGTCTAAGCCCCAGCAGATGAAGACAGCTTTTGCTAGGAGTTGTTAACCATCCTTCGCCTGCAGACACACAGGGACTCGCAAACGGCCAAGGTCGGTATGAACTGGTGGTAGTTGTTATCTCCAAGTGGCGGAATGAGAGAGAACACCTTTGCATGCTTCCGGCAGACTGGCTGGCTGACTGCAGGGGCTCACAGGCAAGCTGGTGAAGCCGACTGGACTTGACCTGCAGACTAAAGCTAAGCTGCAGCTTTACCTCCAGGGAGGTTTGTGTCCAGTTTCTGGTTGGCCATGAGCGAAATGCGCATGAGCTATAACGAGGCAGAGGTGAGGTCGTAATATACCCTGAGAAGGTTCCTGTATAGCCGTCTCTGGGATAGCTTACATAGGGCATGATGTGCGAACTCGCCTGACTGGCATGTGGCAGTGACTGGCCTGTGGATCCATCCTGCAGCTCCTCCCAGCTTCTCCAGCTTGCCCACCTCCTGGAGCTGATGCATGTGCGGTTCCAAGCGATAGGGCTCAGCTCGCCCTGCAGGGCTGGTGCATCAGCCTGGTCGGCCTTTGTCAGACACAGATGCATTTCTAGCTTGTCTTCAAGCTCTGCCAGTTACACCTAACTTCATGCACAGACACAGCAGACTCCCACAGATTTCCTGATAGTGTCCCCTGTTGCCTGGGATCTCATTCCTCTGACAGCACTTATCAGTGGCTCTGCTTTTGTGATAGTGAGCTTTAAGATGTCGCCTGGACTGGAACAGGTACTATCAAGGAAACGGCATCCCAACCCATCTCTAGGACCCGGTAGCAGGTGTTTTGCAGAAGGTCTTTGTTCTCTCCGGTCCTGAGGCTCGCCTTCCTTTCTCTGCTCCCAGTGCTATGTGGTAATCACACGGGGTGATGGTCAAGTCAGGCCTTTGCTATGGCCTGACAACTAGAGAATGACTCTCGAGCGTTTGGAAGGAGCTCTTAGTGATAAGCATGGTCTTTGGGTTCAGACTTCCGTGCTCTGTGAGCAGGTCATGCAGGCCGCCTTCTCTGAGAGATGGCTTGTTCTGTTTCCATGCATAGAAGAGACCTTCAGCTTTCCTCTCACCAAAGCTTTCACTCTGGGTCTTCTCTAGCGTGTTGTTATTTGTTGACACGTGATCTGCACTAGGTGCTGGGGATAGAATCTTCGTCGAAATTAGGCAGCCCCTGCCTCATATGTTATCAGAGAGACAGACGAGAAACATCTAACCGTGGTAAGTTCTGGAAGGGAGAAGCACTATGGGAGTAGCTCAGAAGACCCGGCCTGCAGGAGGTCAGGGCAGTGGGAATGGGGGCTGACTGCAGAACAGTGAGCAGACAAAGCAGTAGCTCTCCATCACACATGAGGCTCTCTCCATGGTTTCCTGACTCATGGGTCTCCGGGGTGAAAAAGTCACATCCTGGAATTGGCCAGGAGGACCAGAATTGTCTTGAGAGCATCAGAGCTGCTGGACTTTCTCTAGGCAAGTCCTGCAGCCCAGAATCGACAGCCCAGGGCAGGTGCTGACCATGACTTCTGGGAGGACTCGGGGCCCACAGCCTGACACTTGGCAAGAGAATATGTTTGAGGGGCACCTCCGTTCCCACAAGGAAATGTCACCTGCCTGGCATGAAAAACAACAGCTTCTTGCATCAGAAGGGAGGCAACTTCCGAAGGACAGGAAACTGTCCCACGTTCTCCTGATTAGAGCTTATTCCTTGAGCTCTCCCTTTCGGCCCTTTTCTCCGCCCACCTCCTCCTGAGGTCGGGACTCCCTCCTGGGTGGTAATGGCTGTGGTGGGCACAGCTGGCTGCCACTCTCATCTGCCCATCACTGAGCCAGGGTGACCCCCAACCCTCTCCACACAGCTCTTCACAGCTAAGCTGCAAACAGCTGTGCTGGGGGCAAGAGGGAGTGGGGGACGGGCTTAATTCTTTCTAGCTGAGCCAGGTTGGTAGGTAGGGCAGGACTGGCGTGGGCAGTGTTTGGGAATGCACAGTGGAGCCAGGGCTGTGTATTTCCTGAGAGGAGTATGCGATTAAGCAGGTAGGTGCATTTGGCTTTGTACTACTTCCGTAGTTAACCGCCTTGACTTTTCCTGCCTTCTCTTTTCTGGCCTTCTGCTCCTATTATGTAATCTAATAGCTGCTTCTTTTTTTTTTTTTTATGGCTTGCATCTCAAAGACTACATGCTATGCATGTTGGTTAGACTTAGGAGTTTTTTGTTGCTGTATTTTCCTGAATCCAGGAATCTGAAAGTTTCTATTTAACTCTCTCCTCTTATAGGCCTCCCAGTAAAGGTGGATACAGGAGACAATGTGTGGGCAGTGAGAAGCAAGCTGAGCCAGTTGTAGTTTTAGATCCTGTTTCCACACATGAACCCCAAACCAAAGACCAGGCTGCTGAAAAAGACCCAACTCAATGCAAGGAGGAAAGAGGTGAGGTACAGCCCGAAGACAAGGACAGCCGTGGGAAAGCGGGAGAGATGGACAGTTCCAGCTGCTGATCTGAAGCCAGAGGCCGGCGTGTTTGTGAACCCTTGTCCATAAGCACGTGGCTCATTTGGGTTACTGTCAAAGACCGTTGGACACTTCCTTTGTTCTGGCCACACACTTCTTTGCTGGTATCACTTGTAAGTAGCAAGTATAAACATAAGTAAGCTGTTTAGCAAGATGCATCTTCTGGGTAGTTTTATTTTTTTTTTATCTTTATGGGGTAAGGGCTCTTTCTGGTTTCTATGTCGAGTGTGACTTCTTCGAGAAGGTGGCGGGAAACTTGGGTGTTGATGTCTTTGTTGGGAATTGTGCACACTACTCTTCAAATGTATCCATGATGAAATTCAAGGTGGCTGCCAGAAACTGGGTAGACAGAGGCCAGGAGGATTGCTTGAGCCTGGACTTCAGTTTGGGTCACACTGCAAGACTCCATCTAAAGAGTCTTTATTCTCCACCTAAAGGCTCCCTAAAGGAGCCTCTTTGGGGTGCTGCTCTTTGGATGGGGAGACTGAAGCAGCCTGGAAGTCAGTGGCCCAGTAGCATCCCTGTTTGTAGAGTGCTAAAGGGATATTTTGTTTATGGTCTAACAAAGTTTGCCTGATGATCAGAGAAGCAAAGCAGCCAAGCCACTAGAGAGCTCTTAACCTCTATTGAACAGAGCGAGTTCCTATCTCATCCTGCCTTATATTCCTGTCTAGTGCTGGGATTAAAGGCGTGCACCACCACAGCCTGGCCTCTGTGGCTAACTAGTGTGTCTGCTGGGATTAAAGGTGTGTGCCAGCACTGCCCAGCCTGGGTAGCTGACTAGTGTGGCTAATTTTGCCCTCTGATCTTCAGGAAAACTTTGTTAGATCATAAACAAAATATCACTATAGGGTGTGCTGAGACCATCCATGGGAGAGCGCCAAGGTCTCTTAGCTCCCAGCTGATCACAGTTAACTACTTAAAACATGTGAAAAACATGCCCCTGTGTCCAAGGCTTGCCAGGGATTTCGGGGTTCCGGCTGCTGAATAGAGCAATGAGATGGAAGCCCAAACCTTGAGTTTAAAAGAAGTACCCTGGTAAACCATACACTCCTGTGTTCTCCCACACATTCCCGGGGCACAAGCACCATAGATTTTACACACAGTGAAGAGAAGTGACAAGCACACGTTTTTTTCTTGCTTCACTGCCGTTCTATATTACATGGGTCTTTTTTGTTTTGTTTTTTAGAGGAAATTAAGTGGTAGTTTCTAAAAATACAATGTTCCATACTACCATGAGGAATAAATAGAAATGTAATCAGGGATTTAAAAAAAAAAACAACTTATGCAGGTTTTCAAGTCGATTGTTTCAAAATTGGTGTTTATTTAAAATAAGTGGTAATGTACTTGAATGCACTTTTTATGATAATGACTCAGTAATGGTAATTTTACTATTAAAGCAAGCGAAAGGCTTAGTTTTGTTAGCATGACTCAGCATGTAGTTGTCAGGTGCTTAGCACCTAACGGCAGAAGAAAATGATAGTAACAATTGCAGTAGTTGTGTCCGATTGCGTTTCTGCACATGTGCTGCTAGTGTAGGCTTGAGCAGTGGGGAGGCAGGTGAGAACGCTCCCTCACTTTGGAGACAATTCTTTCTGTAGGTTCATTAGGTTTTACTGTTCCCGTGTTCCTTCAGTGCTGATTTTATCGCTCCCTGTCAGTTTACTTATGGGGAATTAAAACGTGATTTTTTTTTCCAACTGTGTGTTTCCATAACTGAATGACATGCTCACTGCAAGTGGATTCGTTTGTTCAGATGGGTTCCGCTGTGCTGTGATTTGAACCCTCCTCAACACAACACATTAAAAGAGACACACAACGATTTCTCATTAAGGGTCAGTTGTGGTTATTGACATCTTCAAGTTCTTCAGCCTAGAGAGACACTTAATAGAATTCTGCTTCTTGTATGCTAGGCAAACTTCCGGCTTCCAGCCTACCTGCCCAGCCGCAGACTAACGCAGTCCTGCGCAGTTTGGCCCAAGAGTGATATGATGGGGTAACATCAGGAGTCTTCGTGAGCCGGCTCGCTTTGAGCAGCTCTCTTCCATGTTTTCTGAGTCCACCACCAGGTTGTTGCTGTGTATTTCACACACATCTGGCAATATGAGAGTAGGCACACCACCTTCCTATATTATTTCATCACAAGTATCAACAGAATTAACACAGTTTAAAAGTAGCCTCACGTCCAGCAGAAGTTAACAGCAGAAGAGGTGAGATACGCTGGCTCGACCAGGTGTCTAGCTGTGCCTGGTGTTTTCAAAGCATCTTTGCCTTCCCTGTACCACAGCGCCTTGCAAAGGACTGCAGTACACAGGTATTTGATGTAGACCTTTGCTCACTCTTTCCTTCCAGTTTATTTTTATTTTCACCTCAGCTTTAAGGTTCAGCCCTTTGCAGGGTGACTGTTGGCAAAGCAGGTGGTGTGTTTGTTCTGTCTTCAAGGTGAGCTTTTGGATGTGTGAGCTCAACTCTTGCAGTCTTCAAGTTGGGAGGAACCACACATTTTTCCCTAGCAGGACATTCATTCTGTTTTGAAGATATGAGATGTGTCTCTGCTGTAGCTCTCTTGACTGCTTCTGACACTTGTGTGGCCACAGTCAGGCACAGAGAGACATGCCAGCCCTTTGTGCTACTATGTAAAGGATGAAGTCTCTCTCCTCTGCTGGGAGAGGAAGGACTTCATTAAGATGCCTGCAGCCCTTATGTCTGAGCAAGTCCCACACAAAAAGTCAGTCATTAGTTTTCCAGCTTGGGGCATCTGCTTGACAGGGTTGGTCTGCTTAAACCGTGTGTGTGTGTGTGTGTGTGTGTGTGTGTGTGAGTGTGTGCACGTGTGTGAGTGTGTGCGTATTATGGCTCTGCCAAGTAACTCCTTCTGTACTTTCATGAACAGTAAGAGGGTTATTGCACAGGGGAAGGTCAGCATGACCATGGGTCATCTTTCCAGACCACTTTAGGTTGCCTGTTGGCCAAGCAACAGCTTGTACCACACAGTCTTACACACATCCTGGAGTGCTTTTGCAAAGACCCACTATGTTCAAATCACCTTCAGCAGAGAGCAACTTGGACGGTTGTGGAGGATGGGTAGCCCATTTGTTACTGTTATAGAAGCTCTGGAATGGCTTCGTATCCATCGCACGGTCATTTTTAATCTAGGCTATGATGAATTCCTTTCATCTCTTTATAGATGATGTTATGCATTTTATCAGCAAGGGAAGAATGGGGAGAGAGAGGGAAGGAGCATGCAAATAAGAAAATGAATAAACAACAAAGAGAGGCAGTTTAGCCCTCTAAGAAAAGTACACCTATCCGTTGGTGCACTGTCCTCGAGCAAAGCTAATATGAGCAGAGTGCATTCTGGGCCGACACTAAGGTACTGACCTGGTCGTTATTTCGCTCTGGTTTCAATGGTTAGAATTTATATCCATCGCAAACATACTCATGTCATGAGGACAACTGCCAGGGCCAGGTAAACACCTCCTCTTCCCCATCCTGACTTTAAAATGGATTTTCCTTTCAATTTCTTCTGCCCCACTGTTTGTTGTTAAGTGTCAGGAGAGACAGTGGCCACCACAAACTGTGACACATTTTCCCAGGCTTGGAATGATGCTTACCAGTTCCCCATGCCATGCTTCAAAGAGACTGCCACTGAGCCAATCTCAAATCGCAGTGCTGAGAGGGAGGGGCTGGCTCTCCCATGAGGACGTGATGTTCCCTTGGTCATTCTCCTCAAAACAGACTATTTAAGCCGGGACTGAAATGATTCTGCTGCAGGCCAGGACCCTGCGATTTATGTAGTCTTTAGTTACAAACAGCCCTTGTGCTAACTCACCGAACAAAGGATGTGATAATGTAAGGGGTTGGCTGCTATTGTCTCCCTGCTTGAATATTCACTTCGGTACTAAAAGCCCAGCACTGACGCACAGAAGAGGTGCGTCTGTCAACATGAATTTGTCATCATCGTTTTAACCACTTGCTGCTCCTTTCTTCATGCTGGGGTGTAAATAAGAGGGCACTGGACGATGCTACGAATATCCATTTGCAAATGTGCTTATTAAGTTATACCCAACTCTGTTCCAAAAAAGATCTAAGGAGAAAGTCATACGGGAATGAGGAAAACCTGAGAGGAAAGGATGGGTGGAAGGCAATCAAGAGTAGGAAGAAGCTAAGAGGAAAGAAAGTGTTCCTGCAGACAGCCCTGTGGTGCTGCCCCGTGGTGCTTGGTGCATGTGGCTGGCTATGAAAACCATCTGAAGTTAGCAGAGGTACTAATACAATCAGTGGATGCCTGTGGGCACTGGGAGCTATCGAAGGTGTTCTGACTTGAGAAGGGAACGGTGCCTGACTGAGTATGGGGCCTAACATCACACTGTATTAGCCTCAATGAAGTCAGGTCAGGATCTTCAGATTTAGACGGTAGAACCTGTGTCCCCATGGCAATGTGATGGCTGTAAAATAAAGTTCACGGAACTTAAGGTAAAACCACCAGGGGTTTACTTTATCCAATGGTGAAGCTGGAAGAATAAAATGCGTGCCCAAGCTGCTGGAGCTAGGAGTCGAGCCAGCATGGAGACACCCTTCACGCCGGCTAGCCAACACTTGTGGTGTTGGTATGCTCCGGAGTCCAGCCCCAGGAGGCTCATGGCTTAGCTGATTCCTCCACAACTTCTGTAGGGAAGATGGAGTCCAGGGGCCCGAGAGTTTCCTCCGCCATTGTGGCAGTAGCCTCTGGTGTCTTTTCAGCATCCTCTTGGAAGGAAGAAAAATTGTGTTCTTCACTGAAACCTATTTAAAATAAATAAATAAGGTTTACATCCTGACCAGTGGCCCTGATTTCGATGTTGTGTGTGGCAGGATTAAAAGTCCTCACCAGACCCATCCAGAAAGGATCCAGATTCTCAGAACAGCCTGTCGCTTGCTCCGGTCTGTTTGTGTTACACGTACTGTGACATTCAGGGCACTGATATACACCAGCAAAGGCCAGCCCTGCACATGAATACAAAGGAGCACCAACCACCCCAAAGGAAACCATGGCAGACAGGGACTATCCTAGGCAGAACCACATATAGTAACAACCATACTTTAGTGGCTGATAGTTTGCCAAGATTGCTTCCTCAAAAGTGGGAGTGGAGCTGTTTGTTTTGCTAATTCGGGATGTTCTTGGTGTTTGCCTAACAGCTTTAGAGAAATTCTCACTAATCGCCCTAATCCATTCCAGAATGCCAGGGGCACTGGCCTAGCTCCTAAGAAGTGGCGGGGCCTCCGGTGTCCCAGGGTTCTTTTTGATGGTCTGAAGCGGTTCTGGGAGACTGGAAATTGGAGAGGCCTTCAAAGGCCCCACAGTCAGAATGAAAAACAGATGAGATGATACTTAGAACAATAATCAACACAGTAATCAACACAGACTAACTCTAGACTGCCTTTCAAAGTATTAGTTAGCTTCTCTCTAACAGAGACACAAGAAGCTCCCTGTGCAGATTTACCAAGTTCGGGTTTCATAAGCCATCAGTTCCTTTCTTGGGGGACCTTATCCTCTCTGTGGTACCGCGTTAGAATCAACATGCTGCCTACTTGTGGGAAACGAAACAAGTTGTTTTCAGAAGGAACACATCTGCCTTTAACTTCCAGGGACGGGCCCGGCTGCAGAAATCTTAAGTATAATTTGGGCCATAACAAAAGGCAGGCTTGGAGATTCCAATCAATTAATTCTATTGAAAAGCACCAAGCAGCCCATTCAGCCAGGAGAAGGGTGGTGAGAGTCTTAAGCATTCAGGTAAATAGATAATCCATTAAGCCAACAATGGACATTGTGGCGAGTGCCATCCTGCTCTTGTCAGCGCTGATTTGTAGTCTTTGGATTGTCCCGCCCTCCTGCTGAGGGACTTCTATTCCCTCCCTTCCACTCTTTGTTCCCTTATTCAGGGCTAAGGGAAAACAAAGCGGGAAAGCAGCGCCTACCCCGTGTTCCACTCTGGATGAGTTCTTCCTCTATAGCGAGAAGGCGGTTGTATTTGGTCACTCGTTCACCCCGAGAAAGACCCCCCAACTTGATAAACCGGGCGCCGAGTCCAACAGCCTGAAGTGGGGAAAACAACTTATTTTAAACAGCAGAGTTTTGGTTTTGAGCAGTCCTTTAACGAGACAGGGAACCGCTGCAGGACTCTGTTGAGGGGGGTTTCTCTTCATCTTTGTGGGAGTAAAGTGGCCTGCTGGCAAGCTGAGCACTGAAGGGCAAACAGATGGTGTGCCTGACAGACCATCAGGCACTTTACGAGTCTTGAGAGTGCGCCGATTTCATCGGAACACGGCCTGGCCTTTCGCACCCGTCTTGGGCGCGGGGGGGGGGGGGGGGGGGGGGGGGGGGGGGGGCAGAGATTGCAAGTGTACACCCCAGTCATTTTATTGTGCCCGCCATTTTCCCTGAACTTCAATTTTGCCTCTTTTAAAAAGTTCAAAGATTAGCGCTTTGCAAAAGGGAGCTGTCTGGGAGGAAGCAAGTCTATTTCATAAAAGGTTACTCGACTTTCTCCACCAAAGACTGCATTTCCCTGAAATACCGATTCATCATAAAAGCGGTGTTTTGGCAATTCCGCAATTGACCATCGCTCTGCACTTACCAGATCGACAAGGCTGTCATCAGAGGACTCTGCCTCCGTGCTCCCGAAGACCGCGAGCTGCTTTTTACCTGCAAGAGCAGCCCCATCAGTCACGTATGACTTAAAAGAAGTTCTTGCTCATGGGGGACTCTGATCAAAACGACAATTTTCCCCGAGATTTCAGAGTTTCTGGGGAAGGAACCCACGGTCTAACCACTTGAGCATTCTCACCCAAGCATCTGTGGCTTTATCTCCCTGGCTTTATCTGTTCAGTTCCCTTCAGTGTCTTACATGCTAATAAAAAAGCAGAGGGGCACAGGAGACGCTCCTAACAGCACTTAGGAGCGTGAGGTCCACACAAGCGTGAGGACCTGAATTTGATCCCTGGGGCCTCAGGAAAGCTGCAAATAACACCACTAATGTCTGTAATCCCACGGTACCGTCAGTATTTCTACAGGGGGAGGAGATGGAAGAAGCCGGGGATGCTCTGAAGGATGGCCAGTTTGGCCTACACAGTGGGTCGCTGCCAAAAGATTGTCTGCAGCAAGGTGGACAGAGAGGACCAAAACCTGAGGCTGTCCTTTGACCTCCACATAGAACATGCATACGAACCCACAAAGGCTATGAAATTTAAGATATGTTGATTGTAAGATACAGTAGTATTACTACTAAAAGGAAGGGGGAGGATGCTTGAATCTGATTGAGTTTTTATTAGCATAGCTATGACATTCAGTTCTGTTGCTGCTTGGTGTATAAGAATATGCTTCAAGGACATGGACTGTGGAGTCCTTGCCTAAGCAGGAGAACTTTCTCAACTCATCCAGGGGAAATTACAGCTCCTCCCCTCAGGTGCTGCCCCATCATGCCCACCTCTCTTTCTCCCATCTGGATGTCAGAGTTGCTGGCATTTAGACATTTAAGAGTCCCAAAACCTCTTGAAACTTGCCAAGGTCTCTAAAAGGCAAAGTTCTATAGTGACAGGGTTTGTGTTTTCCTGGCAGGAAGCATTCCAACGGGCACCTCCTCGCCAGTTCTGCCAGCCCACCTTCTGGTAACTGCCCCATCCCCTGGCTGCCAGGCTGGCTCTGAGCCCTGCTCTAGGTCCGAGACTGTCCTTCTGCCTAGCTCACAGCCCTGAGGATGGTATCTGTGTGTCGGGTACCATGCGTAAGTGTTCGGGACAGCTGTGACCTCGCCAGATTGTTGCCTGTGCTGGGGATATCAGCCGTCAACCACACAGGTCTTCACAGTGATCACCACAGAGAGAAAACAGGCTGCTATTGCAATGAAGAAAGTTCAGGGCAGAACCATTAAGGGTCAGCAGGTCAGGTGTGGTGTGAACGTGAGCACCAGTCCATTTAAGTCAAAACTTGAAGGGTGGGGAGGAACTGACCAAGTGAAGGGCCAGGCAGGGCATCTGAGTCAAAGAGGCAACTTGCCCTGACTTTGAAACATTTGGAACTGAAAACGAGCAAGGGTGGGCAAGTGGGGTGAAGGGGAAATTTAACCTCTGCAAACTTCAATTTTCATCAGGAAAATGAAGAGGGCGTTGTGTACCGCTACTTCAGCTGTGAGGGTTTACCCTGAGGCTGAAACAGCTGCGCTCCCTGCTGCCGCTGTCCGCAGGCAATGACACCTTGAGTCTCACTTGGCATCCCTTGGTGCCTGTTCTGGGATCCTGTTCCTTCCTTCCAGATTCCTTGCTGGGGACCTGCATCCAGATGCTTTTTTCCCCTCCCAACACTGTTTGGAGGAGTGCATGGAATAAGGCGGAGAGGAAGGCCCCCCAAAACGCTGCATAGACAGCATAAAGGAAGACTGTGGGACCCTGGGTGTGACAGTAACACAAGCATCTAGGACTGCCCAGGATAGGAACAACTGGAGAACCGCCATAGACGGGCTGTCCGTGCATGGTTCAGCATTGCATCATTGTTATTGCTGGGGCACACATGATGACAAAGTGATTGTGTGCACTGGGGTGAAGGTATCAGATGAGCTGCCTCATGGGTGCTCTTAACCACGGAGCTATCTCTCCGGCCCCCAGAAGGTATAAAGCTTTGTTGACCTGCTGGCAGCTTTCTGGTACTGCAGTTAGGGAGCCTCCTTCCTTCTCCAGGGCCTTAGGCTCACAGAAAAACTGTTCCTCTTAAATGGGGTCTTCTTGCCATTTCCTTAATTGTGCAGATCAGCTCCCCTCTAAGGGTGACCTAGCTCCCAACTGTGCCCAGTCCCAGACTTCCCCAGGCCAGTGCGAAATAAAATGGCCCCAGGAGGTCTGGAGGCAATTACGTTTCAATCAAGTTAATTGCCGTATCCTTACTTGGTCTGTGCCTGCATGGAAGGATGGAAGTTTAGCCTTCCGCATAGAATCTCCTAGATTTGTAAATTAATCGTGTGCCCATGTGGGTGTACGTGTGTGTACAGGCGAGCATATGGATGTGCATATGCATTTGGAGGTCAGAGGACAGACAAGATCTCTCATTGGCTTAGAACTGCACCGAGCAGGCTGGATTAACCAGCAATCAAGTCCAGGGATCCTCCTGTCTCTGGCTTCGGGCACACCATCACTGGGACTAGAAACATGTACTTGACTTTTTACACGGGTTCTTGGGAATGAACTCAGGCCCTCATGCTGAAGAGTGAACACACCGGTCCTGATGTGTAGGGTGTTCACAGGGCCACCCCGGGCGTGGCAGGCTGACACATCCTGTCCTTCTGCTCGTGGTCGTGGTGCTTGGAGCCTCACCTTTCGTGAATGTCCAGCTGTCTCTGACGACCTGGCCAAGGTACCAGCAAGAGTCACAGCTTTAAACCTGTTGCTTAGCAGTAAGGGCTGGGTACCCCTTCTGAGTGTCTGATATTCCTCTGTACCCTAAAGTTAGAGCAAATGGATGGGTGCGCTAAGATGGCTTTGCCCTCTGGAGGAGACCGGGCAGAAAGCCTGATACTGTGAGCTGCCAGCGGTGGTGACCAGCGAAGGGTCTGACATGGTAGACTCAGTCTGTCACAGAACATCCTGGTGCCAGGTGTAGAGTTACACTTGATCCCCCACCAATGGCTGGACTTCCTTTGCTTTCAAGTTTTAATCCTTGCTTTTTTATTAACTTGGACGTACTGTGTGGGTTTGGCTCATTGCATAACCAAGCCATTACTGGGCACTCAGGTCAATATTTTACTCACCATTGAGAAGATGGGTTATTTCAACCAAGTCAGACATGGTGGCTTGGTTTGTGTGGTTTATGACCAGCCCGTGGGATTTGGGGGTGCTGGTATTCCTGTGCTCCAGGAGTTTGGAGACGCTTCTGGAAGCAGCCCCTGCAATGATGTAGCACCTGGAAGCAAGAGCAGCATAGATGCCGTCCCACTGTTCAGAGTCCTGGGTAAACAGATATTTAAGAGGTGCCGTTACGGTGCATCGAAAGCTATCACAGAACAACAGGAGTAACAGCATATAATCAAATCATACCCTTTTTCTCAACACATAAAATATTTTCCTGACGTCTGTGCCTTAAGGATTTTTGTGCCACTGTCAAACAAATTAGCAAGCTTCGTGGAGAGAAGCTTTGAGTAATTTAATTTGAGCCTAAAGAGCTTGTGGGTGAAGAAACCAAAACATTAGCGCCTTAAGTATTACTCCCCACACTGCCTACGGAGCTACTGGAGGCCCGGGCATCACCACCCACGGCTTTGTCCGCAGTGCGGTTAAACACTGACTGGTTAGAAGACTCTTCAGTTACTTCCACGAAACAAACTAACACCTGAAAAAGAGCTTGTAAGGGCCTTGAGCATCTTTATTTGTTAAGACTATTGTGTCAGTGATGGTGAGACCATTGTAGGACATGGAATATTTAATTAGATGTGTGTTCATGCATAGACCTAGATGCATATAAAGTTATCCTGGCCACTGGACCAGATTTCAAACCATCCCATACTTGCTGACTGTGTGGTGGTGGGTCCTCTCAAATCGACAGAACTTGGTCAGCCTCAGGACTGTCCCAACAAGGCCCAGTGAGGTCCTGGGCCCTGAGTTCAGCTGCGTTTTCTGAGAGTACTGTAAGTTTTCTAGGCTGAGAAAGGGGAGCCCTGAAACTCCAAATTTGATCTAGCTTCCCGATTGTCTGGAATCTAATTTGTTGTCTCAGAGAGGATATCTGTTCCACATACAGATGGTTCTCAAAGCCATAAAAATCAAGAAGTCCAGTTTTGGATGTGGTCTTCCCAGGCCTTTATACGGCCCTGGTCAGATGTGTTCATTTGAATACATTGGATCTGAAACCTCAAAATAGAGCCGTGCTACTTGTATGCAGACACAGTAGCCGGCCTTCGCCTGGGGAATATCTGGCTTTATGGAAGTCCTGTTTCCATGAGCGCAGGAAAATGCTATGTGATTAACCTATGGAAGCACTGGCTGGCACAGCAGGGCCGGCTTCCGGCCGTCAGGCTGCTGTAAATACGCAGGTACTCCTGAAGGGTTTGCGAATGGCTCGTTTCATTTCACAGACGGGCGTGCTCCTAGGTAATTGTGTTTCTGCTATTCACGGGCTTGGTAAGTGCCTTTTCACAAATGCCAAAACAAAGCAGTCCAGCCCAGCCCAAATTACAACACGTTCCCAGCAACAGACGTCGGAAGAATGGGTTTTGTATTCTGCTTTGTTATAAAATGTGGAAGGTGAGACCCCTTACTTCATCACGTGTAAAATATATGTTGGGGAACAGAGGAGGTGGCCCTGCTTACCTCCTTCCTGAAGGGGTCAATCAAGGCAATGATGGCAGGATACTTGTTGATCAGATCCACATACAGGTCCACCATCTCAGCCATGCTTTTGTATGTGCCCGCCATCACTTCGTACTTTCCCTTGCTCTGATGCGTGTAAGGGAGGCAGTGAAAGATAAATGATGGGTTCTTCAGAGGGCGACCATGTCATTCAAACTCTATTGCACACTGACGATTATACACTGATTCTTTTCTGGGCACATTCCACTGCGCACTGTACTTTCTTTTTCTTTTTCTTTTTTTTTTTAATTCTCTCATATATTATATCCCGACTGCAGTTTCCCCTCCCCTGTACTTTAAATTTCGTTTCAGTTTTTAACCCAGGGAAGGCAAGTCACCGTTGCTGTCGATGCCCCAGAGAGAGTTCTTCCCACCGACTTCAGATGGAGCCATCTACACACACACAACAGCTGGAGAGTGGGAGAAGAATGGCTTTCTGTTTAGGGTTATGACATGGTAGTGCAGGCCCCAGCGGCCTGGGTAGGTGGGCGAAAACACCAATCCATGAGCTGCCACACACAGCAGCAATACAGGCCTGCCCACTAGAGAGCCCACTCTCCTTCCGCTCACAGGGAGCAAGTTGCTTGTTCCCCTTTCTGTGAACATAGCAAACTCTGAATTCAGGGTGAAGTTTCTGCAAACTAACACTCAGCAGTAGCGGCAAGTGGTCCTGGCAAGGTGGCTCTTTCCCAGGTTGCCTGCCCCTTGCCTGGAAGGGGCGGATGCTGGTGCAAGCCTTTTCATTGATTTCTGCAAAGATTCCTGACCTAAGTATGGAAGCAAACAGGGTTGAAGGATCCAGTTTAGTTCTGCAAGACAAAGCAGTTTTCTTTCAAGCTTGTGACCAGGGGTGGCACCGGGATGCTTAGGTTAGGGAGGGAGGTGCGCTAGGAAGTAGGCGGTTTGCTTCACTCATGCCCTCCTGCTGCTCCCGCTAACAGGGTGGACTCTACTGGAACTAAGCGGGTTCCTAAGAAGTCTACAGTTAAAAGGATTTTCTACTTTTTTCACATAAAAAAACAGCGAGAAGTTTTAGCTTCTATAATGAGAAGCTTAAAAATCCTATCTTGTCAGTAAAGAAATGCTAATGACTTTGAACTAACATTATTGTAAGAATTATCTGATATCAAGCTAATACATTTTACTGACTATAAGCGATAAATACTCATTCTAGTTAGCGCTAGCAGTCAGCATATTCATAGTTCCGGGTATACGTTGCTGATGCAAATATGCAATTATTTTTCTCAATGGTGTGCCTGGGAACCAATCATTACGTGAAGAATAGGAAATTACTTCAAGCATCCCTTTATGTGCCTCGTTTCTGTACAAAGTAGAATAACTTCTAGAAATCAGCCAAAACTTAGGGTTCTTCTAGACTGTTCAAAACTGTCTTTGTAGCGGCAGTTAGAGCGCAGTCAGGAGAGATCCTATTGGCCGTGTTTCCTGAGCCAACGTTAATTACCAAGTCGGCACTGGTGTGCTTCAGGATGACGGGCATTAGGTAAAACCAAGAACCAGCCTTGGCGTATCTGAGGATGGGATGTATGTGCAAGCGTGTAACATGGAAAGAGACTAGATTTCTTAACACACAGATTCCCAGGCATAGAGGTGAGCTGCTGCTGTAGCCTGGGGTGTGTGTGGGGGGGAGGGGGGAGCAGCGTTCATTTCCTTTTAAATGGTCCTCTCTGTAGGTGAAACTGATCGCCAGGTGATGGTCCAGGTCAGGGACAATGATGTATTTAGTTGGGATAAAAGCATATTCCTCATAAATTTAATAACTTGGGGATGTAGCTCAGTGGTAGAATACTTGCCTAGCATGTGTGAATCAGGGTTAGATCTCATGCTTGACAAATTCAGCATTTACCAACCAAATTATTTATACTCACAAAACGTACCAGATTGTTAAATTATTTCCCAACAGCTTTCATGATTACTCTATAAATCATGCAATTAAGTAGGTTCCCAAGGAGTCCACAAATGAAGGGATTTTATACTTTTTTTCACTTTTAAAACCTTCATTTTATGTGTCCATTTTAATTGCAGAATTTCTAAGTATGTAACCATGATAATTTATGCTACTTTAGAAAACCAATAGTACATTATTTTCTAGTCATTACCTAATCTGGCATTCTCAACTCCACTTTTATTTATGCATCTACGATGGCATCTGTTCAGAAAATACCCAGGTAAGTTCTAATGTAGAAATCACGTCCTGCAAACAGGGAGGCCGCTTTGGGAACTCACGTAGTCCATTAACTCGTGCGCAGCGCAGTTGATGGCCAGGTGCAGGCTCATTCCCAGCTCTAGCCCCAGGTTCGAGCAGATCCCCTGGATAAGAAGCAGCGGCTGCTCTATGGTGTCGTAGTTAACAGTTAGACAGCCAAGGTGGGACATCTTGCCCGTGATCGGCTGCTGCAAAATCCAAAGAAGATGGTTCAAGTCACCACAGCATGTTTAAGGTTGCTGGAACACCCTGTGACAGACATGGGCTTTAACCGGACGTGGGTCTCCAAAGATCGACTCCTTCCACTTTTGATGACATCTGCTTCCAAACCACCCACCCCTACCCCTGGTCTGGGCGTTTAATTTCCCCTCCCCCATCTGCTTGTCTTTCTTCTGTGTGTCTAACTACTCTACCTGACTGGCTCTGCCCTTCTCCATGGGGCTAACCTGAGCCACCCATCACCAGGCTATCCCTGTAAGCATCCATGGATCTCTAACTTGGTCAATCCTCCTCTCCCAAACTGACTTTCTTATGTTCTGGTTTCTTCTAGGGGGGCACTGGTGAATTTTTTTTTTTTAATGAGTGCTAGGAAGGTAATCCAGGGGGGAAAGCACATCCTCCCAGGCCTGGCACCCAAGTGCCAGTCATAAAGTCTACCCTGCAATCTTAAGATTTCAGATAATGCTGGGTGGTAATGGCACACACTTTAATCCCAGCACTCAGGAGGCAGAGGCATGAGGATTTCCGAGTTTGAGGCCAGACTGATCTAGATTGTGTTCCAAGGCAGAGAAACCCTGTCTCCAAAAACCCAAATAGACAAAGATTTCAACAGTTGATGATGGCTCTCCAGGAAACCTGCAGCCAGGAAGAGGAAGGCTGGGACCCCAGCTCCACATTGGCACCCTGGAAGCAAAATACTAAGTGAGGGGGCGGGGAGCAGGGCACACAGGGCACCCAACCGAGGTGGAGAGCACGTGCTTACCTGACCTCTTTTGCCCCCATCATGCCCCTTTTTGGTCTCTGGTTTTGGAGGTGGGAGCTGTGGGATGAGAAGATGAAGAAAATTGTATCCCTTGGTATTTCAGACATCCCTGAGACAGCAAGCAGAGCTGAAGCTGGCTGTTCTTAGGGAACCCATCTTCCACACCATGAATCTCATTCCCATTCCCATGCAAATGGAGTCAGCGACACACACACACACACACACACACACACACACACACACACGGATCATTCCAGAAATGCTCTTCTTAAAGTCCCTAGTTCTTCAACTCAAGTCCATTTTTAGTTCATCCTCTTCTGCCCTTCACCCAACTGCACGCTGGTTTTCCTCCAAGCACACACAGGTGACACCAGCAACTCCTGGTGTGTGCAGGAGAATAACAAACCCTCTCCTGACCTTCAGGACTTCTACCTGCCACTGCAGGATTTGCTCTTACAGGCCCAATATTCTCAGAGTAAAATCAAAGTGTGTTTGATCTTTGAAGAGAGCCAAAGGTCGTGAAATATTTTATAAATCCTAAAGGATGACCTTAGCAAAGAGCCAGTGTCTCAGGAACTAAACCAGGATTGTCTAATACCTCGGAAGACAGACAGATCCACTGCCAATGAACAATGTTTGCACTTGGATCACAGGGAGCTTCAGCTGTCAACTTGACACAAACCCAGAGTCACCTAGGAGGATGGACCCTCAGCTGAAGAACTGCCCAGGTTAGACTGGCCTGGGACCATGTCTATGAGGCCTCTCTCTCTCTCTCTCTCTCTCTCTCTCTCTCTCTCTCTCTCTCTCTCTCTCTCTCTCTCATGTGAGATTCACCTCTGTATGCTGTGAATATGTTTTATTACCATTGGTTAATAAAAAAGCTGCTTTGGCCTATGGCAGGGCAGAATATAGCAAGGCGGGAAATCCAAGCAGAGACAGAGGAGCAAAGAAGGTGGAGTCAAGAAGATGGATGCCACGTAGCCACCCAAGAAGCAAGAGGTAACAAACCATGAGCCTTGTGGTTAAATATAAATAATAGAAGTGGACTAATTTAAGATGTAAGAGCTAGCTAAGAATACACCTAAGCCATTGGCCAAACCGTGTTGTAATTAATACAGTTTTTAGTTTTCGGGGCTGGGTGACTGGGAACCAAAGTACAGTCTCAGTTTCTCTCTCTCTCTCTCTTTCTCTCTCTCTCTCTCTCTCTCTCTCTCTCTCTCTCTCTCTCTCTCTCTCTCTCTCTCTCTCTCTTTCTCTCTCTCTCTCTCTCTCTCTCTCTCTCTCTCTCTCTCTCTCTCTCTCTCTCTCTCTCTCTCCTCTCTCTCCCCACCCTCCACCCCCTCCTCTCCCTCCCCAGCCTCCCAAGTGCTGGGATTAAAGGTATGCATCACCACCACCCAGCTGTAAGGCTTTCCTAACTGTTGACTGGTATAGGAGAGCCCAGCCTACAGTGTGTGGAACCATCTGTAGACTGTTTGACTGAGCCCTCTTTTGTAACACGCCTTTTGCCACCACCCCCCCACACACACCATTAGGACAATCAGCCCCTCACACCTGGGAGTCCCCTTTCTTTTTCCTAGTCCTTCCTGGTGTCTAATGACCTAGGGGTGCCTCCTCCTCTCCTGCCCACTCCAGTATTACCACCCTGGCTGGATTTGTATACAGTGACCCCTCCTTCTATAATTTAAACAGGTCTAGCACTGTTGGTTCTATTTAATGGACCCAAGATAATGCTGGAGATTTTAAAGTGATTTATGTGCAGACTATGTGAACCACGAAAGAAAGAAAGAAAGAAAGAAAGAAAGAAAGAAAGAAAGAAAGAAAGAAAGAAAGGTAGCTGAACAAGCCAGAGGAAGCAAGCCAGCAAGCAATGCCCCTCCATGTCTTCGGCTCCAGGTTCCTGCCCTGACTTTCCTTAGTGATGGATTGGTACCTGGAAGTGGAAGCCAAATAAACCCTCTCCTCTATGCTGTTTATTACAGCATGAGAAAACGAACTAGAACAGCTTGGTTTGGATAGGAGACCCAAAGCAAATGAGTGCATTCTTCATAGCAGCAACAGCAATACTGATTTAACCCCAAATGAACCAGGAGCTGAATTCAGGTGTCGCTGCTTCCCCAGGCTGCCTTTACATACCGTCTCAATCACTCTGTTGATTTGTTTCTGAATCTCCAGGAGCAACTCTATACCCTGTAAGCAGAACAGCCATGGTGTACAACTTCAGTCTGCAGATGATAAACATGAGAGTCATACCCCGATGGCCAGTGTTTCCTGAAACTGTTCTGGATTTCTTACTGAGGACTGCCAGTTAGTGGAGGGTGTGGCCTACACAATGAGAAGAATGAGTGTTCATCTCTGACCCCTGTTGGTTTGTGTGTGAGTGCCAGGCATCTTGTCTTGGCATCTTCATGGTGAAAACCAGCGAACCATTCTTTATCATAGCCTCTTGGCCAGGCTGGACAACGTAGCAATGCATGCCGCAGGTCACCAAGGAGGCCTGGCTAACTAGTCACGTAAGAAGTAGAACAGTCGGGCTACAGAGATGGCTCATCTGGAAACGCATTTGTTTTTGCAGGGGACACAGGTTCAGTTCCCGGCATCCACAGGACAGCTAACAATTATCCGTAGTCCCAATTGCAGAGACTCCATTCCCCTCTCCTGGCCTCCTCAGGTGCTGGATAGACAGGGTGCACAGACATATGCAACCAAAACACCCATACGCATAAAACAGAAATAAGTGCGTCTTTAAAAGGAGGAAGAGCAGGAGGTGGGCTGTGATCGTGAGGGCGTCAGCAAAGGAAGGTGAGGATGGCATGCAGAATGCTCTGGAGTCCAAGACCACAGAGGGGTCCTGCCACAGGGCCTGAAAATGGCCTCACAGATAATCTGACGGCTGGAGTGTCACGTGAAAACGGAAATTGTGAGGTAATAAGAATTTTGTTTAAAAGGGATTCTTTTTCACAGAGAAAGCAAGTGAAACTTTTGTAACAGCTTATTTTCACGATTTACAAAATTTCACTCATCACAGGAAGGATGGGGGGAGCTTCCTCTCCTTTTTCTGAAAGCACTCACCGTAGCATGAACCATGCCTAATTGCTAGAGGACTCTCCAAAGGGCGATGTAGACCTCACCAGCACACCTGGGAAATGAAGCTCCCACAGAGGATGCATTCATCTCACAAATGAGCATTGAATGCATGGTCTGCTAGCTTGGAGTTCTTTATTTAACAGAATAGGTCGCTGGGGAGTGCTGGCTCCTGCTACAGCCAACAAGCAGATACTCCAGGTATTCTCAGATGATAGCTCCCACAAGACCTTGCTCCTGTGAGTCACTAATGTGAGCCAAGGCTGGACCAAACCAGACCAAACCACTAAGAGGGTCTGTTTCCTTTTGTTTGAGTTCCTGCTTTCTTCTGAATGATTTGATTTCCTAAAATATCATTTCATATGTTTTATTCACTCCCCCTTGATTGACACTAAAATTCACCAATGGTGGAGGATTGGGCGGGGGAAGTAGGAAAACTGTTTTAGCTGAGTCAGGTACTTGTTTGGTTGTTAATCCAGGATGGGGGATGCAAATCACTTCCTTCATTAAGTTTAGCTTCCCGGGTGATGCCTTCCCGCAACTGAGCACAGATCCCATCAGCAGAGGCATGGTGAGTGTCGCCGCTGATGGCTGCTCCTGCCAGGGAAGGAGAGGAGAGAGAGAATGGCAGTTCAGCGCAGGGCCTCGTCCCAGGTCCCATGGGTGCAACCTTCACTGACCTGGCCATGCTTCAGGGATGCAATGTTCATGTACAGAGGGACACTGGCCAGGCTGGCACTGGTTTTCGCCACCGCTAGTGAAACAGCGCCTATGGCCATGCTACCATGAAGGATGGGTTCAGGGGGTTCTGGGGGGATAATAGGTTTTTCCAAAAGCGTGTCCCTCCGCCCTGGAGAGGAAAACAGAGACAAAGGATTCATTTCTGGAAGCCTCACTGTAATAGAACCGCATCTTCTTCGGATGCTGCACTCACAGAAGACCCAGCACAGATGGAAGGGCGAGGGTTAAGGTTGGCCTTCTCCCCCTCAGCTCCCAGGGGTTTTCAGATTTGCTCACTTAGCTCTGGGCTCTGACTGATGGTTTTCAGGCCACTCGGCATGATCATAGTCCATAATCATATGAGGTGGATACTGATACTCCCACAGTTGCATGTAAGTAGACTGGGATTTGTTGTGGTGACGGGACCACAACATATTTATTGTGCAATTTTGTTGGGGGATATTCGACCACACTGTGAACCCCGAGTCTCCATTGGTATTAATTAAATATAATTCACCTTGGGTCAGGTTAACAACTAGTTGACAGAAAGCAATCATAGAGCATCAGAGGGCACCGGGGAGGTATAGAGAGAGTACCAAAAGTAGTAGGTGCAGCTTAGGATGCACTCTTGGGGACACACCAGCAAGGCGAGATTAGCTAGTTGCAACTCAGCCTCTCTGAGCTAGTGGGTTTTCACCCCAGCCTTTGAACCTTGAATCTTATTTATAAATAGAACAATAGAGATTTAATTAAAGCTACCGTTAGTGGCAGCCAATACTGGTGCCTGCAGGAACAGAATTTCCTCCAGGATGCAGCCTAAGCCACAGGGCCTCTGCCAGAGAAGCAGACCAGGGACTGCAGAGTTGTGACTGCTGACTGAAGCCACTGTGCCAGAGATAACACAATATCTTACAGGAAGCAGATGCAGGCTCAACCTAGAGTGCTCCAATTCCAAACTCCGCTCTTCAATATCACCATCGTTTCCGTGTACCTCACATGGAGCACCTCTTCCTAACTTACCATCCTTTCCTCCAAACCCAAAGCCATGTGTTGTTCTGTTTGGCCACCATCTCCAGTAGAGCCCAAGCCCAGCAGTCTACCCAGAATCCTCACCCATCTTCTCAGCCACCTGTCTCTTCAAGCCCTCCTAAGTCAGCCTCCAACCTCCTGGTCTTCCCCACTGCCACCTTGGGTCCTCAGTGGAGAGAAGACACTAAGCACCCAGCACACGATTAAGACAGAGCAAATCCCTGTCTCTTTCTGTAACTTCTCTTTCCTTAAGCTCTCAGTCCTGAGTCAAAAGCATCTGCCACGTGAAGTTCATTGGTGCATCCCACCTGTAGCTCAGTAGAGTCTACATCTTCTGAGAAAAGACAGGTCTAACATAACTCTCTTAGGTTAGTTCTGTTCCTCGCTCTGAAGCAGAAATAATGAAATAAAGGATCTCAGTTTTCATTGACTCTCAGTTCCTTCCTGGTGTGGTGTTTCTTCTTCTTTGGTCTCCTCCTCATTATTATTATTTTCTGACACAGGGTTTCTCTGTGTATCTCTGGTTGTCCTGGAACTCACCCTGTAGACCAGGCTGGCCCCAGACTCACTAAGATCAGCCTGCCTCTGCCTCCTGAGTGCTGGGATTAAGGGTGTGGGCCAACTCTGTCGGGCTGGTGTTTTCTCATTTAATCACACCCACTTTTAACTGTGTGTCCAGATGGGCCTGGGCTCCTGGCAGTCATGGCAAGTTGAAGGAAACATGGCATGAGTCCTTAGGAGATATAAAACTGCTCACGACACCAGGGGCAGTTCTAGAACTAATATACTGAAGGGGCCACCATTGGCACTCTGTGGAAGTGCAGGCAGAGGTCTCAGTGAAGCAAAGCTGCAGAAAACAATGCTAACTGATATGTGAGACCAAAACAGAGCCATATACCTTGCAGCTTAAGGTTTCTGTTTGCAGCCAAGACAGTTAAGAATAAGTTCCTATTTATCCTGTGTTGAGTCCTTGCAAGTTAAGGTTTCTATTTGTAACTGACAATAAATTCCTGTTGTAAACTGCAAAGCATGTGTCTCAGCCTACACTAAACTTGCGCCCCCACTCACATGATTTACATCCTTGCCCTTGCTTCTTGACTTTCACCATATAACAACATATAACAGCATATAACAGCCGCCTCTTGGCCCCTGTGAACAGCTCATAGCTCCTGTAAGAAGCACTGCAAGACATCAGCTTAGGGTGAGAAAGCCAGCCGGCCAGTTGGTGCACCCCAAAAGACATCTCGCTTTAACTGGACAACTGTGGATGTGGTCTTTCCTGCTCTTTGTAGCACAGATGATAAAAACCCAGAGACAGATATTGGAGTTCAAGCTGAAGATCAGAAAAGCAAACCAGCCAACCGCTAGAGAGTTCTTTTAGCTCTGCCAATGCTCAGACCAAAGCGGTGATCCTGTCTTCAGATTCCATCTGTCTCCAGCAAACCTCAGACTCCAGACTCCATTGAGCTCCTGTCTCTTCCCCTTGATATTCCTCTCTTCACCCAGCCATATCATTCCCGTCTCCACCTCCCTAGTGCTGGGATTGAAGGTGTGTGCCACCACTGCCTGGCCTGTATGGCTGACTAGTGTGGCTGCTTTGCATTCTGATCTCTAGGCAAGCTTTATTTATTAAAACACAAATAATATACCACTATAATCAGATATGTGATTAGATCATAGAACTCGCCTCTAGCAAAGCAGACCCTTTATTATGGGATGGCTTTTTGATTGCCTCATGGAAAACTTCAGGGAGGTGCAAATCCCTGCCCTCGTGTTCCCGCCCTCCTCTTGCCCCTCTCTCACTGCCCCTGTGTACGGCCTTTCTTCAACAGTGCTCACCCATGAATAACAGCATAATCGTTTCCTTTCCCAAATAAGAGGGGAGGGTAAAGTGAGAATAAACCTAGTCCACCCAGCACAGCAGATTCAAGGGAGTCGGATGGCACCTTGCTGGGCACTGCCTACCCCAAAGCCCAGCCTTTATTCTTCATACCTTTGCAGCCAACGGTGCTGTGATGTGGGAAGTCCTTCTGTATATGTGTTGCTTTTATTGGTAGATGAATAAAGCTGATTGGGCCAGTGGCTTAGCAGAGTAAAGCCAGGCAGAAAATCAGAAAAGAGAGAGAGAGAGAAAGAGAGAGAGAGAGAGAGAGAGAGAGAGAGAGAGAGAGAGAGAGAGAAGAAGAAAAAGAAGAAGAAGAAGAAGAAGAAGAAGAAGAAGAAGAAGAAGAAGAAGAAGAAGAAGAAGAAGAAGAAGAAGAAGAAGAAGAAGAAGAAGAGAGGAGAGGAGCGGAGCCAGGCAGATGCCATGCAGCTGCTGAAGGAGAAGGACGCCAGAACCTTCCTGGTAGGTCACAGTCTCATGGTGATACATAAATTAAAAGAAAGGGGTTAATTTAAGATGTAAGAGCTAGCTGGGAATACACCTAAGCCATTGGCCAGACAGTGTTGTAATTAATATAATTTCTGTGTGATTATTTGGGACTGAGTGGCCTGGAAACAAATTATGAATGGTGCCCAACATGGGGCACAAGTACTATTCAGGTCTGGGCGGCTGGGAAATGAAACATGGTCTCTGGTTACAGCGCTGGAAGATGGCAAGCCACTCACCTGGCTTCTGCCCTTTCTTCTTGGTGGGAGGTGGAGGAGGTGGTGGCAGGATTACAGGTGGAGGTGCGGGCACTGACTCCTCAAGGCTCCTTTCCAACTCTTTTCTCTCTCTATCTTCTTGTACTTTATTTTCAAAGAATAGCCTGCATGGCAAGAAGTGTAAGACTTTACAACGGAATGTCATGATTTAGAGCTGACCCTGGTATGTTTCAATAATATGTTTTTTTTAAGCTAAGGAAGAACAAATTAGCTTTAATTCCCAAGGTTAATAAAAGTAATGATGGTGTTAAAACCATTTTTTTCAGGAACCAAACTCTTATCATTTAAATTATTTGAGCTCTTTTTATACTCTCTAAATAAAATTCAAAGGCATAATTTGATTAAGGGGTACTGGATTTTCTTTTTATAAAAATGACATGCAGAAGCCAAACCATTCAAGAATCCTTAGTGAAAACAGGGTTGGAAATATGTCTTTTCCTTTTCCTCTTAGCAAGAGATTTATTTTTAAGTGTGTGTGCACACATGTGTGTGTGTCTATGCATGCACACATGTAGGTATTTGTGAAGACCAGAAGTGTCCAATCTCCCAGGAGCTGGGCTTCTAGGCAGCTGTGAGCTGCCCAGTTTAAGTGCTGGGAACTCAATTTGGGTACTCTGCTAGAGCAGAATTAATGTGGGATGCACCTCTGTATGCTGTGATTATTTGTTTATTACTATTGATTAATAAGGATGCTGCTTTGGCCTACGGCAGGGCAGAATATAGCTGGGCAGAGAGGCCAAACAATACAGGGAGAGAGAAGGTAAAGTCAAGGAGGATGCCAGCAGCTGCTGGGGAAGCAAGATGTGAAGTAACAAGCCATGAACCTCATGGTAAAATATTAATTAATAAAAATGGATTACTTTAAGTCATAAGCACTAGTTAATAATAAGCCTGAGCTAATAAGCCAAACAGTATGTAATTAATATTAAACCTCTGAGTGGTTACTTTAAAAGTGGCCTTGGGACCTGGTGGGATGAGGAGTCTCCAGTTACACAGGATGGACTGACTCTTACCTGAGCTCCATCTCTGCAGCCTCCCTTTTTCCTTCTGATGAGGGGAAGGTGTGTGTGACTTAGAATGAGCATGTATACAAAACTTTCAGGAAACCCCAGTAGACACAACTACATAACATTTCACCACCCCTCCCCCATCCTCGAGTAAAAAAGATAATAGGTTCCATAGACCAAAAATAAATACATCCTATAAAAACGTTCCGTGGGAATCAGATCAGATTTGTATTAGGTTCATTAATAATCTTGATCTGGTGGGGCAAAGCTTTTAAAGAACTGAAGGAAACTGACTAATTGATTGAACAGAAAATTCTGGACTCAGCTCAAGTATCAACCGTGAGGGCAAAGTGCGGACACTCTTCATGTAAGAACTTAAAAATATTTCATCCCACACCCTCTTTCTCATCTCTGTCAAAAGTCTCTCTCCCCTCCCTCCTCCTCTCCTGTTTGCCTCCCTCCCTCCCTCCCTTTCTTGCTCTCTCTGAAGAACCTGCCTGACACCATGTTGATCGCAGGAGCCACTGTGTTCCACTGTTAAAAACAAGTTTCTATTTACTGTAAGAGGGAGTTAACTCTGTTTCCTGGAACCTGACCTTCCCCAACCATGACCCTGAGTGATTTTTAAGAATACCCTTACCCTCCCTGATCACCTGGTGACCACATGCTTTCTTTGAAGAGTTTTTTAGTTTCTTACTGTCCTGTTGTCTTTCTTCTGTGATGGTACTTCTTGGATGGAGCTCAAGAAGTGGATTTGGGGTGGCTCTCTTTAACCTGACATAGGAAGCAATTGCTTGCCAGCTCTTGGGTGCAGCCCAATTAAAAAAAAAAAAAAGTTTGTTTCGAATTTGGCTTTAAAGTGTGGTTGATGTGGGAAGTCCTTTTGTATGCATGCTGCTTTATTGGTTGATGAATAAAGCTGCTTTGGCCAATGGCTTAGCTGAGTAAAGCCAGGGGGAAATCAAACAGAGATATATAGAGAGAAGAGAGAGTAGGTGGAGTCAAGGAGATGCCAGGCAGCTACTGAAGGAAAGAGATGCCAGAATCTTACCAGTAAGCCAGTCTCTTGGCAATATACAGATTAATAGAAATGGGTTAATTTAAGGTTTAAGAGCTAGCTAGGAATATGCCTGAGTTGTTGGCCAAACTACATCCTAATAAATATAGTTTCTATGTGATTATTTGTGTTTGAGTAGCCAGGAAACAAAAGTACAATCTCCGTCTACATGTGGTAGTGGTCTTATTATTACCTTTGGGGTTAACATTTCTGGAGGCCTCAGTGAGATTCAGACACTCACCCAAATTCTAAACCCAGACCTTTGGTCTGGAACTCTGGATGCCAAGGGGGCTGCCTTAGGAGGCACATGCCTTGAGATGTTCCAAGGCGCCAAGACTGCATTCAGTTCATGGACTATTGGGGTAAACTTATGTTTAGAAAAGCAGCAAGCATCCACAGAGGCCTCCTGGTGAGTTATAGTCTGGTTCTATTTTGTGAGATTCCTATTTGGAACATGGAAGGGGTTCAAATGGACCCCAATATTCTCCTTTCCAGGGCAAAGAGCAAGATGTTACACTGCCCACATCTTGAGGGCAAGTAAATACCCTGAGGTAACCTTGATTCAGTATGTAGGTGATTTATTTTTGGATGAGGAGGACTGTTTGAGAGCCACCAGAGGCCTTTGGGAAACTCTATCCCAGTTAGGCTATAGAGTTTCTGAAATGGAAGCCAAATGTGCTCACGCAGGTGTCTGACTTGGGATGTGAGCTGAGAGAAGGGGAGAGGCCTGCAGAGCAGCCACACAGCAAATCCCAACTGCAGCCACCGGAAACGAGTTAGGGAATGTCTGGGAGCTGTTGGATGTTGCAGTCTTTGGATGCCTGGGTTTGCTGGAATTGTCAAACTCTTGGACTCTGCTGTAGCTGAGGTAACACCCCTTTGGAAGGGACTGAGGACATGAACAGGTCTTTAAGGGCTTAGGCCCTGGTGTAGCCCCGGCACTAACTCTCCCTGATCTCCCCATGACCTTTCACCTTTATATCCATGAAAGAAAGGACATTGCCAAGGGAGTCCTGACTCAGGCCCTGGGTCCCTGGAAAAGGCTGATAGCTTACATCTCAAAGAGATAGGATCCTGTTGCCTCTGAATGGCCCCCTTGTTTAAGAGCCAGTGCGGCCACTGCAATTCTTGTAAAAGAAGCTGACAAGCCCGTATTGGGACAGAACTAACTGTAACAGGTCCACATGATGTGGGCACCCTGTTGGGAGATGCCACCAACCAGTGGATGACTGATGCTCAGTACCAAGCCCTTCCTTTAGATAAGGACAGACTGACTTTCGATAAATCCCTGGCTATTAACCCCACCGTCCTGCTGCTGGATGATGATCCTGAAGAGCCCAGCCGTGGCTGCCCAGAGATGACAGACATTATTTAACCTGACCTGACAGACATTCCTCTCACTACCCGAGATGCAGGTCTCTATACTGATGGCAGCAGCTTCACTCAAGAAGGGGCCAGGTATTGGGGGGGGGGGTCACAGGCCAGAATGAGGTCATCTGGGCACAAGCCTTGCTCAGGGGCACTCCACCCAGAGAGCAGAAATAATTGTTCTGACACAGGCTTTAAGGTGGGCTGAAGGAAAAAAGGTGAACATTTACACAAACAGCAGCCCTGGAACTGTCTGCTCCTCCCGAGCCCCCACTTTGCCTCAGAACAGACGGTGGATCGTGTCTGATGGGAGAATCTGCACACCAACAGGACGGCCAGTACTGACTAACTACTGCCTTGCATCCTGCCATGCCCTTGTCACCTAGGAAGCTCTCAGAAATCATCTCCCCTCACATCTGGCTACCTGGACACTGGGAACTTCAGAGCATTTCAGACACTGCCTGACCTGTGCCCAGGTGAAGGCAAAGAACACACTTTCCCCAGGCCAACAGGGTCAAGATACAGCACCTGGTGAATTTGGGGAAGTGGACTTCCCTGAAGTCAAGCCAGGACTGTATGGCTACAAATATCTTTTGGTGTTTGTCAATACTGTCACAGGCTGCACAGAGGCCTTTACATCCCGAATGTAAATGGCCCAATTGGTAGGTAAGAAATTAATAATGGAACTTATTCCCAGATATGGCCTCCCATATCTCTAAGATCCGACAATGTCTTGGCCACCAAGACCAAGTTACCCTAATTTCTCTCTAAGGCTCCTAACATAAACTATTGGAAATGTTGTCTATATCATCCTCAAAGCTCAGGAAAGTAGAGAAGGTGAATATAACTTTAAAGGAGATTTTAACTAAATAGCCTCTTGAAACTAGCGGTAACTGGTCGACCTTTTGCCTTATGACTTTCTTAGAGTCCAATGTACCTCCTTACGGAGAAAAGTTCACCCCATATGAATTAGTTTATGGATGAACATTTCCCATGATCCCTTGAGTACAGGCCAGACTGTTACCAGATTGCCTCACTCCAACCTCTGAGTTTTTAAAAGGACTGCAATTAACTTTGGATAAAAATTATCCCTCGGGTCCAGGTTGCTCAACCTGTTGGCTACCGTCCACCTGATCACCTGTTCCAGCCTAGAGATGTTGTATTATTTGTCTGTCACTTCAAAACTGTAATGAGCACCCAGTACCAGCCTGAGGACAAAACATCGAACGCCAGCCTCCCGAGAGCAGAATCCTCCAAACATCCTTCAGCCCGAGATAAGCTACTATCACCAGACCACACAGACTACGCTGTCAAGCAACCCAGTGCAGTGGACTTCCAGCCGGAAGAAACCTAGCACTCCCTTTCAGCCCTTTACAGAACAGATCAGGTCGTGTGTGTGTGTGTGTGTGTGTGTGTGTGTGTGTGTGTGTGTGTGTTAGCAGGATTATTTAAGTAAGGCACTTTGTAACATGTGTTTAGAGTGTGAGTTGCTAAAAGTTACTGAAACATTAGTATTAATATTAGAGCATGAAATGTTAAGGGAAATCAATATTTTCATACATATGTTTAATGTTTGGTATTAGTATTAGGAAATGTTAATTGATAAGTTGCATTAAGGTTAAGAAGTGCTTCATGAATAATTGATAAGCTGAATTGTGGTTATAAATTGGTTTTAAGTATTAGGATTAGTAGGGTTAATAATTGTGATATTGAATTGCCTGTGTGTTGCCTTCATCAATCCCCCATGCCTATTAAGACTGTAAACCCCATTGATGCATTGGATATTGAAATTGCTGGTAAAGAATCATCATAAAAACAATTCTTTTGCTTGGTCTGGTCACTCATCGCTCTCTGGGGAGAAGGGCACAGAGTCCTCATGGCATTACTCATAAAGAACCTGGAGCTGGGGAAGTCACAGTGATTAAAGTGGTTAAACCCAACAGCTCACTTCAAAACTGACCAGCTTGAACCTAGACGGAAAGAACCTTACATTGTGATTCTCCGGACTCCAAATTGCTATTAAAGTCGCTGGTATTTCTGCCTGGGTTCATCGCTCACATCTCAAAAGGGTACTTGAGGAACCCACAGAAGAGAAGCCTGACCCCCAGAGGTGGAAAGTGATTGAAAGGAGCCCTTAAAAATCAAACTTTCCACAGTTTGGCTGTCTGACATAACTGTGCTCTTCCTGTTGAAATAAGAGGCACCTCCATCACAGGAAACCCCTGATACTGTCTTGTCGTGCCAAAGACTGCCTCTATCCACCAGGACCCATAGTTTGGACAAAAGAAGATACCTGCTTGTAGATACCTGTCTAACTCACAAACTACATGAACCAGTCCAGATAGGAGGTTTGGGAGGGAAATCTCCAGAAGAAAATATGCAATAAATTAGTAGAAGCTGTAGCCAAAAAAATAGAAGTAAGAGGAGGGTGGTTCATTTAACTCAAAAGAGACAAAAAAAAAATGCATTTCAAAGTGTTTTTTTGTTTGTTTGGTTGGTTGGTTGGTTTTCTTTGTCATCAACCAACTCTGAGGCAAACAGCACAATATGCATTGCTCAAGGCCATGCAACAGAACTAGAAAAGAGGCTGCGTTGACCTGGCCTGACCAAGGCTGTTGACGCCTTCCACCTGTGTGAAGGAAAGACGACTCTAACCCGAGACTTGGTGTGGCGCCAAATAGCACTCAGCCTGACTTGGTTCTACTATTTTCAGAGTGAAAAAAAAAATTAATTCATGGCTAAAGGTCTAAGCCTGGGTTGTGTCTGGAGTGCAGAATGTAAGCGACAGCCAGGTGTTCGCAGGCAAGGGTCTGAAGCCTCCAAGTTGGCCGTTCTCTGATAAGCTGGTCCTTAATCTGAGAAGTTCCCTGCAGAAGAGGCCGCAGGCTGGCCCTACCTTACACAGGGAACAGGAGAAAACCAGACTTCAGGGAATGCAGGCTGTTTTCCCTTGCTTCTTAAACTGTCTCTTTCCCCAATTCTACAGTCCAGCTTTTTACTCTGTGTGTCGCAACCTCCCGTGGGGTCAGGTAAATGAATGCTGGGGGTTGAGAACTATTTGGTAACACTGGAAGGTTTCTGAACATGTTAGGAGTGAAAATTCATTCCAAATCAAATTCTCAATGAATCTGAGGTGCTTGGAGCGGCACAGCTCACCCTTGTGACTTTGGGTCTGAACACGTATGTGTGCTTTGCATTGCCATACCACACCAATGAACCCGCCTGAAACACCTCTGATTTAAGGCCACTGTACATTACAAATTGTAGTGTTTTATTGTATGTACAAGCTTCTTGATCTTATAGAAACACCATGGTTTAATTACATAAACCAAAAACACTCATTATCTCCCCAACAGGTAAGCACTGAATTGGTGTCTCTTCAGATTGTGTATTAGAATGTTTGATTTTCAAAAGCACTGCTGCAGCTGCTGACCTGGGTTTCATAGAAAAGTCGCGTGAGGGGAGGGGAGATGGCTCAGCAGGTAAGAGAGCATCTTGCTCTTGTGGGGGACCCAGTTCAGTTCAAGCGCCTACACCAGTGGTTCTCAACCTGCAGCCCCCTGGGGGTGGAGTCCCTGTTTGTTACAGGGGGGGAGGGTTCTGTTTGTCCCAGCTGCCTGGCTAGCTTACACCAAAATAATCACACAGAAACTGTATTCATTAAATTACTGCTTGGCTCATTATCTCTAGCCAATTATTGGCTAACTCTCACATCTTGATTTAACCCATTTCTATTAATCTGTATCACCACATGGCAGTGGCCTACTGGGAAAAAGTCAGCACGTCTGTCTCTGATAGTTCCATGGTATCTGTCCCTGACTCTGCTTCCTTCCTCCCAGAATTCAGTTCTGTCTTCTCTGCCTACCTAAGTTCTGCCCTATCAGGCCAAGAGCAACACATAAACAGAAGAAACTCCTACACCAACTGTTTCACTGGGGGTGCCTAAGATCCCTGGAAAACACAGATGTTTACATACAACTTATAACAGTAGCAAAAGTTATGAAGTAGCAACAAAAATAATTTTATGGTAGGGGTTCAGCACAATATGAATAACTGTATTAAAGGGTCACAGTTATAGGAAGAACCAACACAGTGGCTCATAGCCACCTCTAACTCCAGTTCCAAGAGATCCAATGACCTTTTCTGCTTCCTCTGGGCATACATGTGGTGCACATACATACATGCAGGGAAAATATTCATACATATAAATGAAAATAAATAAAACTTTAAAGTCTAGCTGAATAGGTGGGGTCCAGGTAAAAGTGGGATCCCTTGTCCCAAAATACGAGGTAGAGAATGACGAAGGAAAATCACTGGCCTTGAACTCTGACCTTCACAGCAAGCACACACGTGTATGCACACGAACACACACCAATGGTTTTTAAATTTCTTGGGTAAAACAGGACTTGAGTGACACAGGTCTAAGAAACACTGCTGCCTGGGGCCATTTTATTGGCAGGTGAAACGCAAAGACACGAGTCAGGCGCTCATACCCAGCTGTTACCTGAGCCTGTGGTCCACCTCTGCCTGGTTGGAGGGCACCAGACCCCACAGCTCCTCTGTCATGCATTCATTGACCCACTGCAGAGCCGTGCTCACTGCCAGGTGCCGTTCTGTCTCCTCGGTGTCCGCCACCTCTGGCGGGGCATTCTCTGGGACTTCAAAGTGCGCAGGTATCACCACGGAACAGATGTACTGGCAACGACACAACCGGGTTCCACACTTTCTCCGCCTCTCCCAGGAGACAGGAAACTAAGTTCATCTAGCATTTAACATTAATGGTATTTTATCGCCTACTTCAAGGAAGAAAACAACACATAATTTTTCTCTATATTTGCATCCTGTTGAAATATTGAGAAATTTGACTTCATGAACCATTTCAAATTATTCTCTTGTTAAAATACTGGTCTAAAAGTCCCACACTGAACTGTCCCTAACACTACTTCTCCAAAAAAAAAAAAAAAAAAAAAACTAGCTACAATTTACCCTTATTCTTCTCCTCTCACAGGCTGTGGCAATTTTATTTATAAAAGGTAGGTAACCACATGAATTAAACAGTTAAATTGTTTTTATTTTTAAATTTACTTTTATTTTCTTGAGATAGAATCGATGAAGGGACTCTAGCCAGCCTTGTCCTTCTCCCCCATTTCCTCTGCCTTCTAAAATTCATTAGATGATATTCCTAAAGCTGCCCACCAAGGTTTATGCCCTTATTTGGCCACTTCCTCCTCCTGAGGCTGACTACCAAGGTCCAGCTATTAAAGTACCGAAGTCCAGCAATCAGTAGCTACCTTTGGCTCACCTAATTAGCATGCCCAATTAAAATAAAACACCTCTTCCTCCTAACATGGGGTTTCCCATTTTGCCTCTATTAAACTGCCATTTGCCAATGGGCTATGTCTGCCCTCTCCCTGTCCAGAGGCAGTCCTTTGTCCTCCTGGGACAAACACCCCTTCCCCTTCTCCCTCTATCTCCAGTCTTTGTCTCTTATTCCCTGCCCTCTGTCCTTCTGGGACAAATAAGTCTCCCAAGAATCCTGAGCCACTACTGGTCCTTAAGTCTCAAGTAGCTCAGGCTGGCTTTGAACTCACTAAGTATAACAGAAGATGGCCTTCAACTGCTTACTGGTCCTCCTGGTCTCTACCTGCTGAGTGCTGGAATTAAAGCAGTGTACCACGACATCCAGCCACTAAAATTATTTACATTGTTTTCTTTGCTTAAATCATTATTCTACATATTCTCGAACACATAAACCCAAATGTAGACATATAGAATGCATTGCATTGAAATGTCAGAATACTAAAGGTATTTTCCTTTCCTTTCCTTTCTCTCCTTGGGATTGAATTCAGGTTAGCATGTCATGAATTTTATCAAAGCCACACTGAAACATAAAGCACACTGCATTGCTGATTCTACGATTCAAGTATATATGGTACTCGTGAATAAGAAGCATATGGATGAACATGTATCTGCTTCACAAATACTGAATCCCAAAACATTACGTTTTTGAAGTTTAGATATTCTTGCTACTAAGTACAGAGCCGGGCAGGATACATTAAAGAGCAACGTTGAGCTGCCTCATACCTTGGGGAGATTTTGGATGGTGCAGGAGATTTCCACCTGGAGAGTAGGAAGTCCCAGTCCATCCAGTACGATTTTTCCTGCTACTTTGCATATGGAGGGAGGCTTTGCAAGTTTAGAAAAGTAGTTTGCCTTCAAGACACACATAAAATCAAAAATCAGAAAACCGCATCGGATTTATCTTACAAAGGCCAGGCACACTGAGGATGAGTTCCACGCCTCTGCTAGAACAGCCCTCGCTGGAGCGGAGTCTCCAGCCCAGGGGGTGCTGTGCTGTATTCTCATTGATCTCTTATCAGAATGCAGAGACCCATCTTCATCAACAGACCTAGTACCCCTCTTTAGCAGGGATACTAACCCTAACCCTCGTGAGTTCAAAGTCAACCAGCTCCCTGATACTTCTTTCCAAGTTATGGAAGTTATTGATCTTTACCACACCATGATGCATTCAGATTGAAGAAATCAGAAGGGGCTGACTTTATCCCAACCCGCCCCACCCCACCTCTCACTCCCAAACGGGCATCTGGCTTCTGAAGAGTGAAGTTAGAGACAACAACAGTCTTGCCTGTCATCGGCTGATGTATCTTGCTACCTCACCAAAAGGCCTCTGGGGAGTCTTAGTAATTCCAGTTTCTCTTAAGTGGCAGAGCACAAGTCATTTGGAAGGGATCCAAGATCGCGTGGATGGCTTAGCCCTCTAAGGGCGGTGCCAATCCTGGGCAGGGTGACCTGAGTGGTATAAAAAAGCGGGCTGAGCAAGCCATGGGTAGCAAACCAGTAAGCAGCACTTCCCCGTGGCCGCTTCTTCGATTCCTGCTCAGACGATGTTGATGACGACAGACTATGAAATGGAAATGTAAGCCAGGCGAACCCTTTCTTCCCTAAGTTGCTTTTGGTCAGAATGTTGTTAAAAAAAAAAAAAAGCAATAGAAAGCGAACTAGGGCCGTCCCTAACCAAGGTATGGGAGATTCCAGAGAGCTGGACAAACCAGTGCCAAGCTGCTGAGCACACTGAGGAGACCATCCCACGTGGAAACAAAAGTGCAAGTGTCTAGCTTTGCACACAGTGCCTATGAGACAGGGTTTGGTGTCCTTTTAAATTGAGACAATGTTAACAGCTCCTTTAGCAAGAGGCCTTAGGGACTGAAGTCCTTATCATGCCTTCACCCACTTCACAAATGTTCCTGTGTACCACTGTCACTAAATACCCGAGGCACAAGTTCTTTAGTTAGAAAGAAGAATTGGGTGTTTTGGGTCTTGCTTTAACCATGCAGAGAGTTTCTAGAGACTGAGATAGCAAAGTGGTACCCTAACTCGCTATCCCCAAAACAGTCTCTGAGGCACAGGGCTCCCCTCTTAGCAATAGCTCATCAGCCAACTGGAGGTGGCGCCCTGGGAGAGCTCAAGGACGCTAAATCCAGAGCCCTGTGGAGAGGGCCTCCAGGGAAATCTGCAGTTTTGGTATTCACTGGCCCGTGAAGTTGGGTACCTAGCCAAAGAAGGGTGTATGAGGTATGCAAACCCTGGTGCCTAGGCTTGGCATCTGAGAAATCTGGAGGCAGTGGAAGCCAGTGGAATGAGGCTCCGGGGTGGGCTGCGGCCAAGTCACAGCTCAGTCCCGATCCTTGACAGAAGCAGCAGAGGCGAGTTTGGCGGGCGGGCTCCCTGAATCGTAAAGAAGCCCGCAAGCTCGGGACAGCCTCCCAGGCTACAGGGCCGCCACGTGTCCCCCTCGACTCTCGCTTCTGCGCCTCAACTTTCGGTCCCCCGGGGTAACGTATCCCGGCTTCCCTCTCCGCATCCTCCAAGCTCGGGTCACTGACCGCCCGGCCCCAGCAGCGCGCAGGCGCGACTCCACGGCGCAAGCGCAGCGCGCTGCCGCAGCGTGGGCCGGAGGGGAGGGGGAAGGAGGGGAGCCGGCCGCAGGTCCCTACCAGGTGCCCGTAGACGTCCGCGGGCTGGAGGTAGAAGGTGGAGTTGAGCAGCTCTTCCAGCCTGCGGGGGACGTCATTCTCCTGGTAGTACGCCATCGCCTGCTGCTTCAGCTTCTGCAGGTCCCTGGTGATCCCACAGCTGCGGCCGCTGCCTTCTTCCCCCATGGTAGGACTCTCGGGGCTCCAGCTGGGGTTTCGCTAAGGGGGCCCGCCAGCGTCTTTTGGTCGCTAGGCAACGCAACGAGATTCCCGACCCCTAGATCTCGCGAGGCTTCCTGCCCTCAGTGCAAGGAACCCTTTGCTTTCCACCGTTCTCCCGCTCGCGCTTCTTTGCGCTTCGTTCTCAGTGTTCTTCCAGCCTCATTTGTTAGTGTTTCTCCCAGACCGGGGAAGCATTTAACGATTGTTTGAGTTCGTTTTGCAGAAGCTGGGGAGCGGTACCTGCTACTTTTATCTGTTCCAGTTAAGGAGGCAGAAGGGATGCAAGAGCCCAGGGTGCCCTTCCTGAGCCTTGGAGGTCCCGGGAAAGCATCCATTCCAACCCATCAGCGTGCTTGTCGCACGCCTCGTGATCCTCTCAGAAACAGCTTTGCACACCCTTCCCGGGGAGATTACTGAGGGTGAATTCTCTGCGAGGAAAACTCTATGTAGGCAGTAAGGAGAGTTAGTGATGCTTTGGAGAGACCCAGGGTGCTGGTGGAGGTGACGCCGAAGCAGCGCTTGGGAAGGTCATTGGGTCCATGGCCTCTGCAGAGGGCTCCCCGTATCCTGTGCCAGTCAGGAACCATACGCAATGATAGAATTTACTGCGTTCTAAATACTTCGATGGTGCAGGAGTGGGCCGAGACAGAAGGGGACAGGGTGTTCTCATTTTACCGTTGCCTGTTTTATGTTCCCAACAGAAAGCGGGTTGCTTAAAAGTTCTGTGCCTCCGTTGCTCTTCTAGAAAACATAATCCTACCTGTCCCGTCTGCTTGCAATCACTTAAAATAACCCCGAGAGTGAAGAAGCATTTGGGAACAGTTGTTTTCCATAGTTGTACTGTTGGGTGTAGGTGAATAAAAATATGGGAGTCTGTACTGTTACATAACCCGGACCGACACCTCCACCTCCCCTCTTCTGGACTCGCCAAGCGGTTTCTCTCTCTCTCTCTCTCTCTCTCTCTCTCTCTCTCTCTCTCTCTCTCTCTCTCTCTCTCTCTCTCTGTGTTTTC